CGCACGACGAGGTGGATAGTCGCAATCATGCCACCACCCTGACGCACGTCCCCGTATCCACGGTGCGTGTACGTCGACGACGCAAGGGGAGAAGCGAGCCGAGAGACTCCGCGACGAAACGAACGGTGAAGCTCGTGCGAAAAGCCTGGGAACTCGTGCAACGAGGCACGACTACGACGACCACGACCACGACAACGACGACGACGACGACGACGACGACGAGGACGACGACGAGCAGCCGGAGGCACGAAGGCGGAGGAAACCGGGGCGAGTAGAGGAAAGAGACCGGGTGCGAAAGGTCGCAGCAACAGCGGAGGCAACGATCGACGCGTCCACGGTGGCCCATCGATGCCGGAGCGTCGAGACGCCACGCAAAGGCACGGTACGATAACGGGGTCCGGTGCAACGCGGAACACGGTGCAACGTCGCGGGTAGTATCGACGAACGTGCGTCTGGTCGAGTGCGTGTGCCTGTGCCGCAGGGGGTTGCATGCGGTGCGGCGCAGCTGCCGAAGGTGCGCTTGATAAGTGCGGGCCGCAGTGCACGTGTGCGGAAAAACGCGCAACGTGTTTTTCCACGGGCCAGTGCGTAGTGCGCGACACACGATCCGAGCGTTGCACGGAAAGCTGCACGTGTCGCGCGGATCGATCGACCGGAAGTGCGAACCCGAAGCAGCGAAGGGATCGCTGTCGGTGCGTGCTCTGGGTGGAGCGTGTGGCACGCGTGTCCTCGAGATCACGGTTCGCAGGATTCTAACTCGCTTCCTCCTTCTCTCGCGCGCGTTCTCCGCTCGGCTGCTCTAGCCGTGTCCGCTCTATTTCCGTGTGTTTTCTTTGGTGATGCCTGCAGCTGCGCTTCCACTGCGAGACTACCGTCGGTGCGTGATTTTTCCCGAAGTATTCTTGGGTCTTCGGTGTGCCGACTTGCTCGCCGAAGCGTGGATTCCTTCGGAGTGATCGACGAGAAATATTAAATACACGATCGAACGTATATCGGGGCAGAGTTGTGCCTGGAATTTCGGCCTCCTCGTGGACGTCCGAGCGATTCCTCAGGTTGCCCTTCTCTGCCCGCGTTCCCGCGTGACGACCGCGCGACAGCCGTGTGACGCGGTGGATAGAGGTCGGCGTAATAATCGCGAGCCGGTGACACGGGCGACGATGAGCGAGTACGCGCGACTATGCGATTCGCAGCCGCGGTGCGGTCGGACGCGTCCGCAGGTGCAGGAGGCATGCGTGGAACGGGGGCGTCGCGCGTTCCGGCCACGGTAATATTTTCCGCCGTGTCTGGACCACGGGTAACCGGCTGACGGACGGGAAAAATCGTCGGGGGAAAAATTGCTCGAAAAATTGGTCCGAGCGTTCCGTCCCGGAGTTGGCACTCGAACGAGCGTTTCGAGAGAAAAACGATCCTCTACGTGGAGTTATTTTAATAATGAGGGTGTACCGGCGCTTTGTAGCCTCTTTTCTTTTTCTCCTGACCGCGCCGGCGAGCGTGAGAGCATCATCGGGGAACGCGTAATTATTTCTCGTTGTTGCGTGCAACAATAGGCACACCGGGGGGATCGATTAATTGATTTCTGTTATATAAAAAAGCGGGAGGACGCGAGCGAGGATTGGACGGCTCGCGCTCCACATAGCCGGTTTCGATCACAGCCTCTCCTCTTCCCTTCCGCGCGCCGGAGAAAAGAAAAATACAACGACGCGCCGCGTTACAGTTCGAGTCTCGAGTAGGATCGTTGACACGGGCGAATGTATTCTAATAAATTCAAGGAAGCCTACTTCTCGCAGGGCTACAGAAGCGACTGACCGACATCGTCGGGCCGCGCGTGCAGCATTAAAAATGCAGCCCTATACACCGGCTATACACTCCACGTCTGTCTGTACTCTCTTCCCGATCGATCGAAATCTTCCTTCCAACTCGTCACGTTGCGAAACGAAACAAGCTCCGTTCTGTAACTCTTGCCATCTTGAATCCGCGTGGAAAGGATCCTCTGCTAGAAATACGGAGCAAATCACCGATCCGACGTCCATAGAATGCCCGCTTCGCGCAAGAAAGTGCCAAAGAATAGAGGCACGAGCCTGTCATATATAATCTCGCGTTCGTTCGATATAGAATCATCGGGATATTTCAAACACGCGATTCTGCTACGTAAGAACCAGCAATCGCACGAATCCGAAGAAACGCTCGGGCCGCGGTAATTTATCGCTATTTACGGCCTCTGTTGCACCGTGTCCCGCTTTCTAGCAGAAACGTCTGTTCGAGTGTCCACCTACGTCTCACGCTAATTACCGTCTAGACTCTGTTCTCTCGCCGAGGATGCACGGACCCGCGGGTTCTATATCTAGATATCGCGGATTTTTCTCTACCCCGTGTTCCCATACACGTGTTCCCGCGAGACGGCCACGGTGAATCGGGAACGCGAGCGTCTGGACGGCGAATCGAGTCACCCAAACATCCAGGACGTAAATACTCCCGCGACCTAAACTCCGCGCCGGAGGATCGACCACAGATCGCGACTATTGGCGAGTCGGACAAAGGTTCCGTTTCGCCAGAGAGCCGAATCCGTATTCCGGCAAATCGCCGCCGATTTTCCGCTCGCGGCGCGAGAAACTCCTACTATTTATAAATGGTTTGAACCCGGTCGCATTGGCGAACCTCTGGTCCGCTCGAGCTGCCGCCTCGTGGGCCGCCGGCGTGGGGAACAATTCGCCACCCCATGGTAAAAATAGAAGCTCCTAGCCAGCTAGCCGAGAAGCTCGAGGCTAGAGCTCGAGCGCGAGCACCGCTCTAGCGTGGCTAGAGCGGAGGAACGTTCGGCGGGTGAATCGTGTCTAGCCAGCGGTCGCGAACGGTAACGTCGACGGTCGCGAAGACACCGGTGTTGTTCTGCCCCCACCCGATCATCATGACGACGCCTACGACCGCGACCACGAACGCCACCATTACGATCGCCAACCAGACGGAAACCACGCCGATGTTACCGATCCTTTGAGACTCGTGCGCCGCGTCGCGAAATAGAGCAAGGCAGACGTGTACGTAGGAAGAATACGCGAGTGTGTGCGCGTGTTACCTACCTAACCGCCGGTTAACTAGGTTCGTTAGAGTGTCGGTCGTCGGGGATAACGCGATAGCTCGGCAGAATCGGTCTATATTCCCGGCCGAACGGTACCGCAGCTCGCGAAACTCTGCTCGTCGCGAAGTCTAGTGAATATTTTAAGACCGACAAGAGGCCGCATGTAGGAAGAGGCGGCGCGGGCTGATTCACTGGCCGCGGCCGTGTTCGCACGTAGGAGGACCAGGGAAACGGCAGCGAGAATGCCGCTGCTCTTCTTCTTCTTCTTCTTCGTCGTCGCTACGTGCACGCGGACCGAGGACCAGGGACGTGGGCCAACGTAGAGGAAACGAGCCACCGCCGCCGCGCTCCTCTGTCGGCCGAGCTTTCGCGCGTTCGCTCCGTTTCGCCGACTGGCCGACCGACACACGAACAAGCTCAGGACCGAGCGTGCCGGGGCGGAGAGGGAGAGAGAGAGAGAGAGAGAGACGGTGGCAGAGGGAAAGAAAAGAGAGGAACCGAGATAGAGCGCGCGGCAGAGGGAGAGCGAGAGAGAGAGGGCCACATTCCGAGCGGATCACGGATGCTTATAGAAGCGTTGCGTAACGGCGTCAGACGGACGGCGAAACCGCGGCTGCTGTTGGGCCGTCGAGTTTCGACAAGTTCGACGAAAAACCTGCTGCATCCTCTCCCGGTATCGAGTCGGACGTCGCACGCCCCGCAGAAGGATACCGATTTTCCGTGCAAGCTCAGTGTACGAGCGAACCGTGTGCCGATCGCGACCACAGGTGCTCCATCTAGGACGGGTTGCTTGCGCGCAACGGGCGGAGGGGAGAGGACGTTCTCTGCGTCGTCGATCCGTGGTCTCGTGGCGCGAAAGCAGCTGCTGACTCGATAGGGAAACGAAGTCGCGACGAGCTGACCCCATACGGTCGCGCGAGTGCGTGCGAGTGCTTTTGCGTGCGCCAAGGGGATCCAGGGTTAAACGGGGAGATCGCTGGGTCGATCGACGGATCGAACGCGAGCGTCCACGACCTCGTCGCTCGTAGTGGTGAGAGAGAGAGAGAGAGAGAGAGAGAGAGAGAGAAAAAGAGAGAGCGGGAGAGAGGGGGACGAGAAGGAGGAAGTGAAGGATAAGAATCGACGCGAGTATCGATCGTGGAAAAAGGACACGGTGTGCATAGAGGAGAAATCCTACGGGTGTATCGATTCCGCGTGTCCCGAGTGTTTCAAGGCCACGGGAAGCGGCTCGGAGCTGTTCCGCGGGAGAGTCACGAGATCGTGGTCGTCGTGGTCGTCATCGTAGCTGTGATCGTTCGGTAGCCGAGGACTCGGGATTTTGCCGCGATAATGTTTCTCTCGGGTCCGTTGCTGTCCGACCAACGGCGACTAAAATTAACCCGTGTCGAATCCTAGAGCGTTCTCGTCTAGCCTCGCTTCGGGCTGAATTTCGTATTTATAGATCGTACACAAAGAAGAGAAAAACCGTATCCTTGACATCCAAAATCCCACCGGTCGATCGTTAATCGATAACGCGTCACCCTGCCGCGATCCACTGGGTGGGTATTCGCTGGGCGATCCAAGCAACGGACTCGATTCTACGTTCTTATTCGTAAGCTGGTAGCAAAGGAACCTAATCGCGGACGCGAAAAGTCGACGCAGTCCAAGTCTCGGTGACTCTCCCCGACGCTCGAGTGATCAACGCAGGGTTGTTCGGTGATCTTGCAGAGATCCGTTGGTGCTACGCGTGAGACGAGAAGAAGCGTGGAGGCGATCGGAAGGAAGGATGACGGAGCTACGTTCAGCAGATTTTGCTAACCGGTGAACGCGACGACGATAACGAAGACGAAGACAACGAAGACAACGACGAGGACCACGATCACGACAACCGCGACGATCGCGACGACGACGACTACGACGAAGACGACGACGACGGCCACGGCGACGACGACCACGACGACGACGACGACGACGACGACGAGGACGTGGAGGAAGGAAGAGGAAAAAGAGGAAGATTACGACGTGGGTGGTGGGGAAACAACTTGGTGGTGGCGGAGGAGGAGGTGGAAGACTAGAAGTGGTGTTAAGAGATGCAGCAACAGCCACAGTCTGGCCAACAGTCCGGGGCACCGAACGGGGTGGCAGGTGGTGCCCAATTGCCGCAAACAGGTGGCATAGGCTCTGCCCAACCTGGAGCGACAGGTACCGCCACGGCGGCGTCCAATCGTGCCCAGGTTAACGGTGGCAGATTCGATTTCGACGATGGCGGTTCCTTCTGCGGAGGTTGGGAAGATGGCAAAGCTCACGGACATGGCGTCTGCACGGGACCCAAGGGCCAAGGTTTATACTCCGGTAGCTGGCACTATGGGTTCGAGGTCTCCGGTATCTACACCTGGCCTAGGTGAGATCACACGTTCGGTTTCTTATTAATTTTTGGCATGCTTTCAACGAGCTCGCTGCCTCTCGCCCTCTCTACCCAACCGCACACGCTTTCCCCGCGTATCTTTTGCAAAAGGCTCCTATTTATTTCCTTTCCTTTCGTCTCGTTCGTTTCACGTTTTCACTGCCATCCAATTTTTATATATTTCGTTACTCTTAGGATATAACGACGAATTATCAAACGATATGGCAGAGAACAAAGGAATGGTGCAAATTACTAACCCTTTGCACTCGAGAGGCGACTCTCAGACGCCATTTAATCAGATTCTATAGATGGATGTTAATTAATATGTCAAATTCAAAATTACCCAACGATGCGTGGAATGTCGAAGTAAAATAATTCTACGTCTTAATTTGTACACGATTTCTTATTCACCGTTTTAAAAATACCCTCGACTCTATGGCAGAAGCTACTATTTTTCTGTGACGAAAAAATCGCCGAGTGCATAGGGTTAATATTTTCTATTCAAAATTCTCTATTTATTTACGTTGTACAAATATTTAAAAATTGGTTGGAATAAAACAAATATAAATTTGAAATCTAGTATCACCGGACATTCGTGACCATCACAGTCCCACTGAGAAGACCAACATCGGTCACCGATGACCACCATGACAGTCAACGTGCTAAGCACGATTCGACCTTCGTATCGACTCCTTTCTCGTTGCTTTTCCTGCTTTTCCTCGCGAGACGGTGCAGGAAAATTTTCCGAAACGACCAACAAGACCGAGTCGAGAAATTTAATTTGAAGTCGATGGGGGAAAATTTGAATTTCCGACAATGGCGTCGCGACTGGCGAAATCCCAGTTACGTTTACGCGATTTAAACAAAAACCACGGCCGTTCTCCGTGTTCGTTGCGGATTAACGTTGAACTCGGCTGAGCCAACCTCTGTGTACATTGTACTACCCGGATTGGATAAGCCGCCTTTCATTAGCCAGCGCGGGGCCGTTCCGAATCAGCGGAGTGTTCTTGAATTTAATTAACGAAAACGTGATCGACTTGGATTAATATTCCACTCGCCTAAGTCGGCTACTCTCCGCGTCCCGTTTCATTCTCTCCTCGGAATATACAAAAATAGACGTTCGGCTCCGCTGCGTGCCATTCATCTTTTCACTTCGCGGAGTCTCGCGGAACGAAGACTGGAAACAGACGTCGATGTAAACGAAACTGGTTCAGGCTCGTTAGTTCTTGCTCGAGCGTGCACGCACGAGAATCTCGAGGAACATCACCGATGTCTCGACCGCGCTCGAAAGCTTTCCAACTGGGCCTCCCCTATCTCGAAATCTCTCCGAGGGGATTAAAACGATTACCCGGAATGTAACGATCTAAACTAGCGATCACGATCAACGTTCGGACCTGCTCGACGAATTCGAATTTCCCGCGTCGTCCCAGCCCGGTTTCCTTCGCAGCAAACTCCATTACGAGGTCTGCTAACCCCGAGGCGAGTTCTTGCGCGGAATAAACGACGCCTCTCGCGGCTCAGGTTCAATTCCAAAGGCAGAAAGAACGCGGGAACCTCGTCTTCTCGGTCCTCGAGTTCTCGCGAAAAGACGACACAGATCCGGATAAACGACGGAGATCTCGAGCCAAGCAGAAAGCTCCTCCATTGAAAGAGGGAAAGCGTCGGTTGCTTAGGGGGGGCACCGAAACGCTGGCTGATTTTATTCTATCGCCGGGAGCAGCCTCTAACGGCGTCAATTCGAGATGAACGGGAGACCTTGACACGTATCTCGGTATATACCTGGGGCCGGGCGGGAATCTCCCGATCCTGAAACTGGGCCACCGAGTGCAAGGACAACGAGTCCGGGTCACTGGGATCCGAGCGGTTAGGACCTAGTTCACGGACGCGGCAGACAATCGTTTCCCCAAATTTCCCAGGACTTTCCAGCCAGCGTGCTTGGACTGGCCTGAAGAACTAATCCAACGTCCGCCCTGGAATCTCGTTTCCGCTCCCCTCTTTCTCCCTCTCTCTCGCCGCGATATTCGTCGTGTTTGCTCGCAGTCTCCAGGGACGATACTCGGATGATTTTTGTTGAAACTTGGAAATTCCGTGGCTTCGAGCAACTTTGGCTTTCGCTGCAACTTGCACGGACAATCGTCTCGTAAATCCCAGGGAAGGCGAGTTTCGATCGACGTGCCGAGCGTAACGCAACGTTGCGCGACTATATTTGAGCCGTCGATCGTTCCGGAAGAAATTCTGTCACGCGGCTTTAAATAGTCCAGTGCAACGAGAGCTCGTAAATATAAGTGTTATTAACACGGGGGCTGACACACGCGCGTTTCAACGTATAGGGGAATTGACCCACATTTTTATGTATTTTTAGTAGCACGGGGTTCATCAATGGGAACGGGGATTAGGCCGGGGCGAAAAATCGGTATGACTAAATTTAGAGCGGTTAGCGGGTTTCGCGGAATAATCCCGTCGAAAATCATAAATAATTCCCGCGGCCGTGTTAGCATCCGCTGACCAAGCTTCGACTATTCGGATAATAGGTCACGTAGGACGCGTCGATGGCGCGGATGGTCCCAAGAATACACCGATACGATCGAATGTCAATTATTGGGACACCCGAACTATCCCAAACATCTGCACGTCCGTCCAGATACGTATTTCGACGTCTACTCGCCACTCGGTGTATCCCAATTCCGCGTTACGCATCCTCCATGCAAATTTCGCCGCGCCTCCGGAGGAACCAGGCCCCTGTGCTATGCAGGAATTTTAAATTGGGTCAATTCCATTTGCTTTGTTTAACACTCGGCTTCTCCCGAAAGCGGATGGCCCCGGACGACGTAAAATCCCTGTTTACCCTCGACTTCTCCGGGACTTTTCGCAGGAAAACTCTAGTCAGGTTTAGGTTAGGTCGAAAAATTCGTAGACGCGACGCGGTACAACGTCGGGGGCAGGGGTCTCGTGTGTCCGGTGCGTATCGATTAAACGGGGACATTAAGCAGGCATGTAACGATTACGGGAACACGTCGCACGTATTCCGTGGTGGCACGTGAGGGAAAAATGTCGCTGGGAAGATCGGGCGCGTCGATCTTATCGTTGACCGAAGTCACGCACGGCAAGACGGCTCTGTAATTCCCTCGTAACCACACGTTCCGGTATTCTGCCCCGCTTCGTATTAATCCCTTATTTCGCTGTTGCGAATTAACGACCGATGATAGATACGAGTTAATAACGAACACGATCTCCAGACACGCGTCCCATTGATCGTCGCTCATCGGACGTATTCCTTCTTTTAGAACTTGCTCGCGAGTGTCGAGTTACAGCCACGCTGACCCTATTTTCTCCGCTTTCCTGTACCCCAAATCGGAAACGTCCCAACGGTTCCCAAATGTCCCACGGAATTTTACAATTTTTCCCCAATTTTCACCTCGTTGAGATATATAAATAGAGTAACGTGGATTGCGAGGATGGAGCATCTTGACGATAAACGCGTGCAGGGGGAATTGCAATTCGCAGCAGTCGGGATCGTGGGATAATTAGAACGGAACGTGTCCATCCGTGACTCTGGAATCGTTAATTAAACCCGGCTCGGCTTTATCAATGGCCATCGACGCCGGGCTCATTGGACGACGATCACGACGAGCAATTAGCGGATATTAAAGATCCTCGAGCGCGAGTGATCTCCTTTCGATACCGTCCGCTCGATCGTCGTGCGTTTCAGCTCGCGAGGCTGAGGGGTGGAAATACCGTGGAAAGAAAATAGAGAGAGAGAGAGAGAGAGGGAGTGAAAAAGACGAGGCATGCCGAGAAGGAGGGACGAAGATGGGGAACTTGTGTTCCTCGCGACCACGTATCTGGGCCGAGAGATTCCGTCGTTTCGTTTCCGTCTAAACTGGAGCAAGGTCTTCGTCGAGTCACGTTTTCCTAGGGATGCCCGATAAATTACGGTGCTGCCTGGCCGATGACGGACCCACGACCGCGAGTAACGTACCAACGATTTTGCCCAATTATTTCCGTCGCTGCTCTAAACAAGCCGGGCTATGTTGTTCCGTTTATTTTTCCACGCGGGTCGCCGGATGATAGTGTTACGGGTTTAGTTATCCTAGGTTTACGCCTCTGCGTGATTTCTACGCTCTATTTCCACGCGTTTAATAAACCGTGCACGACATCAAAGAGCACGTGCTTTTCGGTTATACGCCGGAGCTTTCGCGTATCGGGTTATTCGAAAATCCGCGGAGAGAGAAGCTCGTTTCGACGGACGGGGCGCCATTATCTGTCAAATTTCGCGATATCGGACCCCGACGGCCGTTGCACGTTGAAAAGAACGCCGAATCCGATTAACACCGGAGTAACGCTTCCATCGTTTTCCTATTTCCCTTTTTATTCCACCGCGTCTGCCACATTTTCGCGCTCCTTTGTTATCCCCGAAACAAACGCGGAAACTTGGCTCGCGACGCGAGCGCCGATAACCGCGTTTCCTGCCACGCTTCCGCTCCGTGCCGACGCGATTTTCCATCACTGTGCCCCGTTAATTAAAACGAGACCAGCCACATTTCTCGCGATTGCCGTAATTCCGAGCTAATCTCTGTCAAACAACGTCGCCAAGGATCGGGAAGAAAGAAAGCAAGGATGGATTAGCGGGTTCAGGGGTTTCGTGGTTCCCCAAGGGTGGTTCTGAGCTTTATGTATTCCACTCGCTGCCTCGATAAATATGATAATACTTACTCGAGATCGTAAGATGCTAATGATGACACATGGTCGATTAGAAGATCAGTAGACACGAGCCTCTTGCTCCACGTTGATTTACAATGACTCCGAAGCTTCGTACACTCTTGTTTGTGATAAATGGAAAGGGGTTCCTGCAACGTGGAAAAACAGAAATTATTTATTTATGTAAGATTCAGAAGGATTGACTATCTTGGCAATCGGGAGCGCCAATTTATCTTATTTGTAATAAAATTGTTTTATAATTTATTTGTTTATTTATTTATTTATTGAAACTTACGAGTGAAGCCGGTTTTAGTAAAGTGATATAAAATATGCACACACAACATAGGAAGAATAGGCTATACAGCAGACAATACACCAAGTTACAGAGAAAAATTAAAATTAAGTAGAACAGGATTACGTAATAATAAATAATTCCACGAAATGGTGACAATATGTTGTTATGTGGTACCTAACAGTTTGAATAATTAAAAATGATAATATTATTAGAAAAAATAATATGAAATATATATTTTATTATATCTGAATGTCCGTTCGACTTTTGTGTTCGTAGGGGGGCACGCGTCGCGGAACCCTTTTTCTAGATCCTCCACACGTACCCCTGTGCGATCTTTCTCGAGATTTCTTTGAAGAAAATTGCAGAATTTACACGGAATATTCTCCTTCTTATCGTCTTCTGATAAATATTTTATTTTACCAAATATCATAGGAATTTTGGTATCGAGGAGAACTATGCTTCAAAGACGCTCAAGGAGGAAAGAAAATTGGTATAAATTTCCGAGGCAGTTCCCTCCGCCAGAATTAATTACGTTGGTGGTAAACGGTGAATCTTTCGAGCAGAAGGATGTTAGCGTGACATAAATGTTTATCGAGGGCTAGGTTATTTCCGCGAGAGGAACAAAGCGCGTTTGTCGCTCCCGTTTGCGACAAAACCAACAAAGAATTTTCTCTTTCTCCGCGTGACGCAATATCGAGAAAAGAAAGCACCTCGGAAGGCGGAAAGGAAAATTGCTGCCTCGGATCGAAGGATCCGTTTCTTTTTCTCTTGGAAACTCGACGGAGGATTCAGTGGTGCGAGGCGTATTCGTATCGGGCAACGAGTGGCCGCGCGGAAAAACGCACGGGTATTTGAACGCGAGCGGAACTGCTGAGACGACCAAAGAGCGTTTCGATAACGAGTTCCCTTTTACCATCGTCCGAGTGTTACAAGCGAGTACTAAAAATCTCTCGTTTCCCATAATTTCCTGTTCCTTCAATTTCATCAAATTCCGAGGAATTCGAATTTTATTTTCATTTCATTATTCATATTTTTCATTAATTTCATTTTCAATATCATTTTCCCAAATAATCAACTGCTCTCAACGATTGCTAATAATATTCCAACGCTAGCTTAACTGGTCCCAGCTTTTCCAATGCTAGCGCAACTTTCACGCAAAATTATAATATTTTGCACGCAAAGAGCCGAGCGGAAACTCGAAATCGCGGAGGGTGCAACAAGTACCCCGAAGTCGCGTAACTACCCCCGATGGCGAGACACCAGCGCAGTAGCATTATCACATATCCGGTTTCAGTGGGTCGGTTTACGAAGGCCAGTGGCAGAACGGGAAGCGCCATGGGCTGGGCATGGAGACCCGTGGCCGCTGGATTTACCGCGGCGAATGGACTCAAGGATTCAAGGGTCGATACGGTGTCAGACAATCGACCACGTCCACGGCGAGGTACGAGGGCACGTGGGCGAGCGGATTTCAGGATGGATACGGTTCAGAGACCTACGCCGACACCGGTGAGTTTCACTTTAATCGTGCTTTCATACGCGGACGTTCTTCCGCAGATCTAGCCACCCCTCTGCGTGGCGCGTGGGTGACGCTGTTGGCAAATTTTCTGCTATATTAAAACCGTGAATGGGGTGCGTTGTTTGCGTAGAACGTGTTCCACTGTAACTTCCCGAGTCTCCTATCCCGCGGATTTTTCGGTCAAAGGGATAGCGAGGAATCGAGTACCCCGAGGGTTTAATTACTTTTATTATTATTATCATTATTTTATTCATAAACGGACCGTAGTTCATTAACGTAACATTTAACTCTTTGCATTCGACGATTTTTTGGCTAAGAAGAGTAGGAAATCAAAGATTCTCTGCTAAAAAACTGGCGATACTTTTTCGAGTAGCAGATAAAGAATTGTGTAATAATAGAATTGTAGAATTATTTGATTTCGATATCTCGCACATTGTTACATTACATTAAATTTGATATATTAATTAATATCGATCTCCCAAATTTTATAAAATGGTGACTGATGGTCACCTCGCGAGTGCAAAGGGTTAACATATGAAAGAAGAGCAAACAAATTATACATAACGTAACACCGAAAGGACGTGCTCATAAACGCTCTGTTCAGGAGGAATAGCTTCAATCAATGATCATGCGTAATGAAATCCTTTTAAAAGTTTGTAAAAACCCATAAAAATTTCTATTTATTTATTTATTTATTTAATAATGATTTACAGGTAGTAGAACCCATTAGTGTACGAACTAAAAATATAAATACATCAGTTTGTTAGAGACAGATAGAATATAGGTTACGCGTGCTACAAATGCCGATATAGCTGATACAAAGAATTTGCTTGGAGACTTAAGATCTGGTGTTTAAACGAAGAGATACTACCGCCAAAAAATTTAAGGTTTGATGAGAAATTGTTTGCAAAAATGTCTATTCCATCGATAGGGTCTGCTGATTCGAGTCGTACAGTATTATGCTGGTCAGGTGTAAAGATTTGAAAGTCTCTTAACCCTCTACCCTCGAAGACTTTTTGGCTAAGGAAGGGTACGAGTTGAAAAATTTTCTGCTATAAGGCTGATGATATTTTTTGAGCAGTAAATGAGAAAAAGACTTCGATACCTCGCACACTGTTATATTACTTTAAATTTGATATATTAATCAATATCGAGCTTCGAAATTTTACCAAATGGCGACTGAAGAGCGCCTCTCGAGTGCAAAAGGTTAAATTTTTTGAAGAAGCCTGAAAATTAACTAAAAATAATAATTCTGGACTGCGTATAATAGAGTTTATAATTTTCAACGAGTAGCTGAGAAAAATTAATCGACGAGCTTGAAATTACGTGTCGATAGAATTTTTCTAATATATTTCAGCCTCGATTTTAATTAAAGAGAATCAGTTGGTCAAAATTCCTTTACTCTTGATGAAGAGTAAGGATATACGATTAAATAAGGACTCATAATCGTCTTGATCGTTCATTTAGAATATTAAGTTGAAATTTTTCAGCAATGTTTCGAAACGCGCGACAACACGTCACAAACCCATAGAACCGTGAATCGGTTTCCGGGGTACGTTGACGATTATTCCTGGCTGGTCCTACCCGATACGGACAGAATCTCCTGTGGTTCGAAGGGAGAGCATGAATCCAGGCGAAATAACGCGAATCGTTGGAGAACGTATCGGGGAAAGTTGATGCGTAATTCGAACGAAATAAAGCTGTCAGAAGCAGATCAAAGGATACGTCGTAGCCCGGGCGTCGAAGCAACTCGTGGAAATCTGTGTCAACTCCAAGCGACAGGACACGTGTCCGGGACACGGCTTTCGCTTGAATCTCGATGCGGATTAATCGGCTCGAAGCTGTCGATTCCTCGACGATCTTTGATCCCACTTGAACCGACGCGACCGCCACTCGAATTTTTGCGTTTTATCCCGCGGTTATTAATAAGCCTTTTAATTACTAATCTGTCCGCGAGAGACGCGCTCCCTTTTTCGCGCGAAATCGGGAACGCTGCCAATTTGGCGATCCTGCCAACACGATTGTCGTACGGTCTTTTTCATTGGACTAACAATTGATAAACAATGGAAGCTGCGATTCGGTCGATATCTGATAGAAAAATTCAATTAGATTATAAAATGCATTGACAGACTTTTGGGTGTCAAAGAAAAATTCGGATCCACGGAATAAATCATGAAGATTATGAAGAGCTCGACCAAACAATCGATAAACAATGGAAGCTGTAATTTGTTCGATATCTGATAGAAAAATTCAATTCGATTACATACAAAATGTATTGACAGACTTTTGGGTGTCAAAGAAAAATTCGGATCCACGGAATAAATTACGAAGACTATGACGAGTTCGAGCTAACAATTGATAAACAATGGAAACTGCGATTCAGTCGATATCTGATAGAAAAATTCAATTAGATTACAAAATGCATTGACAGACTTTCGGGTGTCAAAGAAAAATTCGGATCCACGGAATAAATTACGAAGACTATGACGAGTTCGCCCTAACAATTGATAAACAATGGAAGCTGTAATTTGTTTGATATCTGATAGAAAATTTCAATTCGATTACGTACAAAATGTATTGACAGACTTTTGGGTGTGAAAGAAAAATTCGGATCCATAGAATAAATTGCGAAGATTATGACGAGTTCGACTAACGAAATGCCGAAATGCGTAAGAAATACAGTAATTTCACGGATGGGAATAAATAAGCAAACGCTGGCATTAATTAAAATCGCGTGTCGCCGAGTTGCGTGCGACGATCGTGCGTGTCGCGTTACGGACTATCTCGGGCACCATAATTCCAAGCTTTGAAGGTATTCCCCACGAACGTCGCATCGAGTCGACGTTTTAAGGTCACGTGCCGTGGAAATCGTACGCAAACCTCGACTAATCGTAGAAACAGCGTGTGCACGATTGATTCGAGCTACCCGTCCGACCCCTCGGGCCCCGAACGCCATTTCACCCTGTCCCTGTCCATCATCGCGGTGTCGATTAATCTCGGCGATTAATCGGCGCGTGGTCGCGAGAAGGAGCAATTCTCGTCGCTGTCCTCGCGAGGGAAAATGGAACATGGGTCGGACGAGCAAAATTTTTGCGAAGCAATCTCGTGTACCTTGCTCTCCAACCATAGTCGGCAGAGCCACGGTGGAGGGGGCAAGAAACGGAGCGACGTAAGGACGACGGGGTTGAAATAAATATCCGTGTCCCTGTTCCGCCGGATTTATTTAATATTCATCGTGCCATTTCTCTGATCCATGGAAATGCAAAGTGACGGCCGGTGGTCCCCGACCGCGCGACTCGTAAAGCAACTTTTAGATCGGCCACGCGATAAAGTCGTGTGACTCACGGCCAAACTATTTTCCCGGCCGTTGTGTAGCATTTCGAGAGACCAACGACGACCTCGATCCGCGTACGCACACGTACGGGGAAGGCTGTGGCGACTCTAGAAAAAATAAATCGACGATCTATAGCCGGAGGTGGACGAGCGTGGACGACTTGGTCACCAGCGAGGAGGGAAAAAAGTGTCAGAGGGATAGCGTGTCATCGATTTTGCGTAACCTACGCTAGTCAAACGTGAAATTTGGCCGTTCACCTTTCCAGCGTAGCACACAGCTTTTACCGTGTGACCCGATGCTGCGTTTTTACCCCCTGTATCGACGAAACGTCAAACCTCCGTTGGCCTGCTCGATAAGAAAAAGAGTCCCACGCGCTGTCAGCGTGTCAACGAGGGTGGACGATGTTCGAAGCGACCGAAACCGTGTTCGAAATTAGAGGAATAAATCGCGGGAAATTATAGTCGCTCCGCGTGGATGGAAAATAAATTTGGAGAAGAATTTTTACCCAATCGGACGATGCCGTAATTCATGCTTCGCCTCGTTCATGCAAAATGACTGCTCCGAGTTATCGACAGGAGCCACGTATAACGTACCGGTATTCCATCCGAAATAGAAGCACGTTAGGTGCCATTTCGGTCTCGCGTTCGTCGACGAATGGGAGGTAGGAAGGATCCGGACGAATCGATAGCATCGACCATCCTCTCCCCGTGCCAATGATTCTCGTTCTAGAAATTCCCAACGATGAACCGTCGAAACCGGCGTTCCCTTCGATGGTCATTCGTCGTTCTTTCTCGCTCCCCCATAGGCACGGTCTCGGTGTCCTCGTCTCTCTCGCGCGACAGACCCGGCCACCCTCTTGCACCCGCTGTCTGGCCTTCGACCCTCGCCGCGAGAGGAGGATCGCCAGCGGGAAATGAACGAGCAAATTGCGATTGATCGAATTTTCTGTCCCGATACACCGTCGATCGGAACACGTGTTTTTTCGCCCTGTCCTTCGACCAGCCACGGGAACCGTCCGCCATAGGAAGGAAAACGTGCGCGTTCTCGACGAAGAACGCAGAGAAGATACGAGAATTCGCGGTAGTCTCAATGGATCGGATTCGGAGAAACGCAGCTAAAGCGGATAACCGAACGTTTGATGGTGGATCGTGGGCTAATTAGAGAGCATTACATCGTTGGCCTAATACTTCCGGAGCGATCGATAATGGCACAAAATGGCAGAGCAGCACCGTCAAGGTGGAAGATTTCTCGGAAAATAATGCGAGCTACGAAATTACGCGATGATAAACATCTGTAGCGACCATCATTCGCACTCTGGCTACTAGACGGATTCCGACTTCGAGGACTCGCGAGAAAGTCCTCGGAAAACCTCCTATCCAATTCCTATTGTGAGAGGAACCTTTATTTGAATGGTACCCTGCATCGGGATCTGTGTTTGCTCCGAGGAACCATCTAACTTATCAATTTTCGAAGTGACGTGATACAATGGGTCGTCATAGGGCCTATAAAGGCCTAGCTGAACGGTTCGACGAGACGCTTTTTGACAATCTACTGTCTGCACCACGCATAGAAGACTTCGAGCCTCCGTATATTTTGTACCGCAGCGAAATATAAAACATAGTTTTGTTCGTTTCGACTTGTACAAATCCGATCTTT